CCCTGCTTCCCCCCCTCCCCTCCCCTGCTTTCCCCCAGTCCCCTTCCATGCTTCCCCTTGTCCCCTTCCCTGCTTTCCCATGTCCCTTTCTCTGCTTTCCCCCCATCCCCTTCCCTGCTTCCCCCCATCCCCTACACTGCTGCTTCCACCCGTCCCCTTCCCTGCTTAGAGTCAAACCCTTCCCTGCTTCCTCCCGTCCCCTTCCCTGCTTTCCCAATCTTCTTCCAAGCAGGGAAGGGGACATGGGGAAGCAGGGAAGGGGATGGGGGAATATAAGGGAAGGGGATGGGGGGAAGAAGGGAAGAGGATGGGGGGAATCAGGGAAAGGGACATGGGGAAGCAAGGAAGGGGACATGGGGAAGCAGGGAAGGGGACATGGGGAAGCAGGGAAGGGGACATGGGGAAGCAGGGAAGGGGATGGGGGAATATAAGGGAAGGGGATGGGGGGAAGAAGGGAAGGGGATGGGGGGAATCAGCGAAAGGGACATGGGGAAGCAGGGAAGGGGACAAGGGGAATATGATTGAAGGGGATGGGGGAATATAAGGGAAGGGGATGGGGGGAATCAGGGAAAGGGACATGGGGAAGCAGGGAAGGGGACATGGGGAAGCAGGGAAGGGGATGGGGGAATATAAGGGAAGGGGATGGGGGGAAGAAGGGAAGGGGATGGGGGGGAGCAGGGAAGGGGACATGGGGAAGCACATAGGGGGATGGGGGGAAGCAGGGAAGGGGACATGGGGAAGCAGGGAAGGGGACATGTGGGAATATGAGGGAAGGGGATGGGGGGAAGAAGGGAAGGGGATGGGGGGAATCAGGGAAAGGGACATGGGGAAGTAGGGGAGGGGACATGGGGAAGCAGGGAAGGGGATGGGGGAATAGAACGGAAGGGGATGGGGGGAATCAGGGAAAGGGACATGGGGACGCAGGGAAGGGGACATGGGGAAGCAGGGAAGGGGCTGGGGGAATATAAGGGAAGGGGATGGGGGGAAGAAGGGAAGGGGATGGGGGGGAGCAGGGAAAGGGACATGGGGAAGCAGGGGAGGGGACATGGGGAAGCAGGGAAGGGGATGGGGGAATAAAACGGAAGGGGATGGGGGGAAGAAGGGAAGGGGATGGGGGGAATCAGGGAAAGGGACATGGGGACGCAGGGAAGGGGATGGGGGAAAGCATGGAAGGGCGTGGGGGAAAGCAGGGACGGGGACATGGGGGGAAGCAGAGAAGGGACACGGGGGAAGCAGGGAAGGGGACATGGGAAAGCAGGGGAGGGGATGGGGGAACATAAGGGAAGGGGATGGGGGGAAAAAGGGAAGGGGATAGGGGGAAGCATGGAAGGGCGTGGGGGGAAGCAGGGACGGGGACATGGGGGGAAGCAGGGAAGGGGATGGGGGGAAGCAGGGAAGGGCGTGGGGGGAAGCAGGGACGGGGATGGGGGGAAGAAGAAAAGGGGATGGTGGGCAGCTGGGAAAGGGACATGGGGAAGCAGGGAAGGGGATGGGGGGAAGCAGGAAAGGGACACGGGGAAGCAGGGAAGGGGATGGGGGGAAGCAGGGAAGGGGATGGGGGGGAGCAGGGAAAGGGAAATGGGGAAGCAGGGAGGGGGATGGGGGAATATAAGGGAAGGGGATGGGGGGAAGAAGGGAAGGGGATGGGGGGGAGCAGGGAAAGGGACACGGGGAAGCACGGAAGGGGATTGGGGGAAGCAGGGAAGGGGATGGGGGGGTTTGGGGAAGGGGACAAAGGGGAATGAGAGAGGTAAGCGGTGTGGAGGTGGAAGGCGATCATTAGGGTAAGCGCTACTGTGTGTGTGGGTTGGAAAGGGGGCGTGACTGGTCCAAATGAGTTGGGGAAGGGAGGGTGACGGGCGGAAGGGAGGGTGACGGGCGGAAGGGAGGGTGACGGGCGGAAGGGAGGGTGACGGGCGGAAGGGAGGGTGACGGGCGGAAGGGAGGGTGACGGGCGGAAGGGAGGGTGACGGGCGGAAGGGAGGGTGACGGGCGGAAGGGATGGTGACGGGCGGAAGGGATGGTGACGGGCGGAAGGGATGGTGACGGGCGGAAGGGATGGCGACGGCGGAAGGGAGGGTGACGGGCGGAAGGGATGGCGACGGCGGAAGGGAGGGTGACGGGCGGAAGGGATGGCGACGGCGGAAGGGAGGGTGACGGGCGGAAGGGATGGCGACGGCGGAAGGGAGGGTGACGGGCGGAAGGGATGGCGACGGCGGAAGGGAGGGTGACGGGCGGAAGGGATGGCGACGGCGGAAGGGAGGGTGACGGGCGGAAGGGATGGCGACGGCGGAAGGGAGGGGGAAGGGAGGGTGACGGGCGGAAGGGATGGCGACGGCGGAAGTGAGTGCGACGGGCGGAAGGGAAGGTGACGGGCGGAAGGGAGGGCGACGGCGGAAGTGAGTGCGACGGGCGGAAGAGAAGGTGACGGGCGGAAGGGAGGGCGACGGCGGAAGTGAGTGCGACGAGCGCTAGGGAGAGCGACGGGCAGTAGGGCGACGGCGGGAGGGAGTTTGATGGGAGTAAGAGAGTGCGACGGGTGCGTCGAACGTACATGTGAGGCTAGCGCCCGATCCGTGCGCTTGATCCGTGCGTTTCGAACGTAACATGCGAGCTCCATCGACCCTGTAGATTTGGGCGTGACGCATGACGTTTTTCTTTATGCTGGCTAATATTATTTTCGTTGAAGGGGAAAACCGTCAGACTGCTGCAAGGTTCTAGACATCTCGCTGCCATTGTCTAGAAGCGCTATTACGCGCTCTTGTGGTCCCGAAAAGCGGAGCGTACTACGTGTGCTAGACTCAATATGGCTGCACGTAAGTACAACTTGGTTTTCAAGTTTACTGAGGGTGAACAGTGGACCAACTCCCGTTGACACTTCACGCGGAATACTTTTTTTTGTCGCTGGCCAATCATGCTTCAGAGTCGTGAAGGAAAGCTGCACTTTGGGTGGTAACCTGGTTATTGGCGGGTTCATATTCAAGAATCTTGAATTTGAAAAATGCCATGTGGAACTCGGGCTTTAAATCTCCCTGCCGAGCCAGGCTCTTGTAACAGAAGCCTCGATGGTGGCGGGAACCCGAATTTGACTTGGAAATCGAACAAAGCACGGTGGTACTGTATGTGGGAAGAAAGGGATGTGAGCCGTGGGATCATGAGAACTGGCTATGCCTGTTGTTCGCCGTGCCTGGAAGGGTACCTGGTTCTGGTTGCTGCTGATCTGTGCCAGCCGAACAGGCATGCTGGTCATGTGGGGGCTTTGTCATAATGCTCTCAGGTCGTTTACAGACGCGAATCGTGTAGTATCTACAGAAAGTTACTTGAGGATCTTATTATAACTGTGAGGCGATTGAGCATGTTTGCCTCATGTTTGACAACATATTTCCTCCAGCTGCCATCCACGTTGTACGAGACCTGCAGGTTCCCTAGAGATTCCAATGCACAGCTGACACTGGTTTCCAGATTCAGCAGCAGAGAAGTGGCTCCTTGCTTCCTCGAGAACCGAGAGCAACGCACAGCCGAGACAGGCTATTTCTCTCGTTTTTCCGATTTTTTAACCTCGTGCATGACTGGTAAACGGCTCACATAGTCTTTACTCGGGAGGATCTTAATACGTGTTTGCAGTAGTTGTCACGCGTGAGAAAAGCCGTGCTCCGCTGAAGCGTGTTTCAGGTGCTTATCTCGAGCACCTCCACGCGTATTCTTTCTTCGCTTGTACTATAGCTTGTACTCTACTTGGGCTGTGAGCCTTCGCATCTCGAAACTTTCCACAAATTTTGCGACTGCCGCGACTGCCTTCTTGTAGTATGTACATTATATATTCAGTTATCCCGGTGGATCGCGTTTTGTATATTCGTAACCAGCGTCCAAGATCTGGCATACGTTGGATTTACACATGGTGACTACGATATTCACAGGATCACCCCACCATGGGATCTATTTTCTCTTCTCCCTTCAGTCTATACCCTTCCTCTCACCGTCACCGCCAAAAATCCTTCGCGTTGGTACCAGGCGTATTCTGACACATTTCAAAACGTATTGAATACGTTTCACATCGCCTCAGCATGGGTTCCGCCTTGTCTGTTCCGTTCAACCACCGCTCTTCATCTCGACTTCACCGTCGTAAATCACCCACGCGAGACCGCCACCAGGCGGGTTACCACAGTTCTTCGCCGAGCTCCAAGGAGGCTCGCAGGGGAAGAACGGACGGTCGAGATTCGCCAGGGCTGTGTGTCAATAACGACGCTAGGAAGGTCAGGAAACGGAAAAAACGTGGAAACTTCTTCTGGATGTTCTGTTGCGGCCGAGGAAGCGGAGGTTCCGTTGCTGACATCAGCTCCATCCCCAGCTGTCGGGTTTCGGATGACGGCCGTCAGAATGTAACGGATTCCGTTGTCTCTCTGACGGCCGCCGACAGACCGACCGGAGAGTCGTCAGTGCCGCCAGAGAGCGCAGCAGAAAATGAGACGCGTAAAACAGCGTCTGGTCGGTGGTTGCTGGATAGTGGCTTCTTGGAAGATTCCTCGCACGTGCTGACTTCGTTGTCGCAACACCAGCCGGATGCGCCGCAGGCGATTCCGCCGTTGTCGCATACCAGCGCCCGCGATGTCGCTCACGCCTCGTCCTCCTTCCAGCAGTGCATGAACGATCCAGCAGGCGACGATTTCGCGAAAGAGAGTCAACACATTCCTGGTTCATCCGAGCCGTGTGACGAATGCGAAGCCGGCGACCTTCGCGAGCTGTGCGACGCCGTCCTCCCACCGGCAACAGCAGGACGAGCGGACGCAGCGACTGGAGCTGAATTCGACGAAACGGGTGCGGCAGTCGACGAAGGGAGTCTCGGGGAACACGAGGAGGAAAGAGGCGGAGAAGGGGTTGGGACAAACGACGGAGTGCGTGATGAGGATAGGTGGAATGAATTCAGTGAGGCGGAATGCGGTGAGGCGGAAGAAGCGCGCGCGCAGCGGCGGAGGAGCCCCACCCCCGAGGCGATCGACGTGATGAGCCTACTGCAGGGGCTCAGCGACGGGGAGGAGGAGGCGGAAGAGGGAGCGGAGGCGGACGGGGAGGGGGAGGAGGAGGCGGAAGGGGGAGGGGAGGCGGACGGGGAGGGGGAGGAGAAAACAGAGGGTGGAAGAGAAGCGGACGGGGAGAGGCGGACAGGGGAGGAGGGTGATAAGGGAGAATGCGACAGGCAAGGGGGTGAGGTAGGAGGGGAGACAGACGGGGAGGAGGGTGAGGTGGGTGTAGTGGCGAACTGGCAGGGGGACGGTGAAATGGAGGGGGAAGAGCGAGCGGCCGTGCGGCAGCAGCAGGTGCATGGAGGGAGTGCAGCAGACCAGTCCCACTTGCCGCCCCTGCAGACCCCCCATTCTCCACAGCCCCTGCATTCTCCACAATTCCAACATTTTCCACAGCCCCAGCAGCTTCCACAGCTTCAGCTACAGGATCAAACTCAGGAGCCCGAGCGAACTCAGGAGCCCGAGCGAACTCAGGAGCAGGAGCAAACTCAAGAGCAGGAGCAAACTCAAGAGCCCGAGCGAACTCAGGAGCAGGAGCAACGTCAAGATTCGCTGCCTTGTCAAGCGGAACACAGGTTGAGCTCTGATATTGGTCATGACGAACAGACGGTGTTAGCTCCTCGTGCGGTTGAGTGCGGTGGGGAGGGTGTGGCAGCGGTAGAATGGAGTGCTGTTGCTCGCCAGTGCGGTGCAGGCGATGGTTCTACTGTAGTGGCTGTAACGGAGTGTAACACTGTGACGGAGGGCAGCACTGTAACGGATTGTGGCTCTAACGCGTATTCGAGCTCCGTGGCTTGTTCTACAACCGCAGGGCCGGGGAAGCAGGCGGAAGGGTGCGCGGCAGGGGACATGGGGGAAAGCAACGCACAGGATGAGGGGAGGAATGGGGGATTTAAGGCGCAGGGTGAGGGGAGAGGCACAGGGGATAAGCGCAGGGGCAGGGAGAGGGGGCGGGGGAGGGGAGGGGCTTTGGGCGGGGTACGGGGGAGGAAGGGGCGGAGGGGGGGAAGAAGCGGAGGAGGGGCAGGTGGTGGGGAAGTGCCATGGTTGGACGAGGGATGTTTGGAAGAGTTGAGTGCGGTGGAGGCGGGTTTAGAGGAGAGCGTTCAGTCGAACGATGTGGAGGTGGAGGGGAATGGGGGGAGGGATGTGGCTGGGGCGGAGGGGAGTGCAGTGGAGTGGGGAGGCGGGGCCGAGGGGGAGGAGGTTGACGGGGGGACGAGTGGGGAGAGCCGTTTGAAGGGCACGGGAGGGGAAGAAGGGGAGAAGGGAGAGGAGGGAGAGGAGGGAGAGGAGAGGGAGGAGCGAAATGCGCGTTTGCGGGATCTAAAGGATGGAGAGGGAGTGGATGATGGGAAGGGTGTGGAGGAGGAAAGGGGGGTGGTGGATGGGGAAGGGGTAAAAGATAAGGAGGGGTCTGATGGCCGGGAGGGGTTGGAAGATGGGAAGGGACCGGAGGATGGGGAGGAGATGAGGGATGTTGATAAGAATGGAGGGAAGAACGAGGAGGGAGAGGATGGGGGGAACTGGGAGGGTGGGAGGATTTGGGTTGACCGGGAGGAAGGTGAGGAGAGAGGGGGGGACAGATGGATGGACGACGAGGATGGGTTGGGAGATGCGAGGAGGGAAGAAAAGGAGGTCGAAGGTGGTGGGGCAGGAGGAGAGGCGAGGCGGAAAGAAGGGGAGGCTGACGCAGATGGGGCAGGGGGGCAGACGAGGAGAGATGAAGGGGAGGGTGAAGCAGGAGGGGCAGGGGACGAGGCGGGGAGGGTGGATCAGGGGCAGGGCGGAGGTGGGAAGGGACGGTACTGGGGGCTGGTGAGCGTGGGCGTGCTGGCATGGCTGCGAGAGGGGACGGGGGAGGGGAGGGGGGAGGGGAGGGAGGAGGTGAGGGAGGAAGTGAGGGCGGAAGTGAGGGAGGAAGTGAGGGCGGAAGTGAGGGAGGAAGTGAGGGCGGAAGTGAGGGAGGAGGGGACGGAAGAAGGGAGGGGGGAGATGAAGGGGGCGGAGGAAGTGAGGGAGGAAGTGAGGGAGGAAAGGAAGGCGGGGGTGAGGGAGGAATTAAGGAATGAAGTGAGGGAGGAAGTGAGGGAGGAGGGGAAGGAGGAGGTGAGGGAGGAAATGAGGGAGGAAGTGAGGGAGGAGGTGAGGGAAGAAGGGAGGGAGAAAAAGATGGAAAGGGAGGAGAGGGTAGGAGAGGAGGTGAGTGAGGAGGAGGTGAGGGAGGAGGAGGAGAGGGAGGATGAGGTGAGTAGGGAGGAGAGGGAGGAGAGGGAGGAGAGGGAGGAGAGAGAGGACAGGGAGGAGAGAGAGGACAGGGAGGCGGAGCACACAGCTGGTGCAGGGGTACTGGAGGGGGATGGAGACTCAGTGAAGGGTGGGGAGGTTAGAGGGTTGAATCCCCTCTCGGCAGGCAGCAGCAGCGCCGTGGCTGCAGATACGGGCGCTTTGCAATCCACAGCCCACCTGTCCGTTACTGACAGCAGCACCTTGGCTGTTGGTACGGGCGCTTTGAAATCACTCCTGGAGGAAAGCAGGGCGGTGGTAATGCGTGGAGGGTCGGCAGAGGGTGAGGAAGAAGAGCAGGGGCGTGGGTTGAGCCCGCTCCTGGCGAGCAGTAGGCGAGCCATGAGCAGAATGGAAGAGGCGTGGAGGGAGGGCGTGGGGGAGAGGAGTGCGGGGAGTGTGGTTGTGATTGGAATGGAGGCGGATGGGGAGGAGGAGGAAGAGGAGGGTTCAGGGTAGTGGCCATGCCTTGTGTAGAAGGGAATGGGATGGAGGAGGAAGGTGGGATTAAAAAAGCGGTTGAGGGAGGAGTGGGGGGCGAGAGGCCGGGGGAAGGAGAAGGGGATGAAGTGGCTGGGAGTAAAGCAAGCGTGGTTACAAAGTTCGATGAAAAACCATTTGAGGCCAATGGAAGAGAGGTGACTAAACGGGCTGGCAAGCGAAAGGGGGATGAATCGACTGGGAGTAGATTAAAGCAGGGCAGAGGTACTGCAGAGGGATGGATTGGACTGGGTGAGAGAGCCGCTGGTACTATGACTGGGGCTGCTGGTGGTGCTGGTGCTGCTACCAAATATGCTAGTACTGAGGGAGAGGCAAGGGAGCGGTTTGTGTTTGATCCAGACTTACTCGCCTCAATGGAGGATGTGTTTAATCGCCATAGTGCTGCTGACTGGAGCAAAGTCACCCCGCCCATCAGCCCAGAGAAAGGCGAAAGCACAAAGGAGATGCAAGGCAGCACGGATACGGATGCGAGTCTCGAGGATCCGGGGCTAGCAGAAGACCTGCAGGTTCCTGGGAGTGTGTCGAGTGTAGCGCCGAGCCTACAGGAGGTACCGAGCCTACAGGAGGTTCCGAGCCTACAGGAGGTTCCGAGCCTACAGGAGGTGCCGAGCCTACAGGAGGTGCCGAGCCTACAGGAGGTGCCGAGCCTACAGGAGGTGCCGAGCCTACAAGAGGTGCCGAGCCCAGACGAGTGTATGAGTCCGAAGCTGCCTCCTAGCCCAAGGGGTGGGGTTACAAAATACACTAGCCCCTATAAACTCACAAGCCCTTATAAGCACACAAGCCCTTACAGTCACAGCAGTTCTTTTAAGCACGGCAGCCCTTACAAGCACAGCCACCCGTACAAGCACAGGCGCTTAAAGTCAGACATGCCTGCAAGCCCAGCGAGCCCAAGCACCCTAGCACCGATTCAAGCACAGGCAGCAGTGCAGGCACACGCACCAATACATGCACATGCACACGCACCAGCAGTCCAGTCCCACAGCTCCAGTAGCTGCCATTCTGCTTTCATCCCTGCTGATGCGTCCCCACGTGTACCTGCGCACGGGTGCACTAGTCCCCAGCAGCACCACCACTCTTGTCCTGAGAGTAGCAGTAACAGTCTCTATTCACAGGGCAGTCCTGGCCGGCTGCTTTTCCTCTCTATAAGCAGCCTCCGTTTCTCTGCTGGCGCTGCTTTGAGTGCTCATACCAGTGCACGGGGCAACGGCTCTGGTAGTGGTGGCGGCCTTGCTGCTGCTGGCGCTGCGGCTGGTGCTGCTGCTGCTGCTGGTGCTGCTGTTGCTGGTGGTGGCTCTGCTGGTGGTGCTGGTGGTGGTTCTGCTGCCGCTGTTGGGGGTGCCAGCTGGCGGATTGGCGTGAACAGTGCTTCTCTGCGCCGCCTGCTCTCCTCTGCTGCCCTTGATACCGAGGGGGGGAGGGGAGGAGAGGGGGCGGGTGCCTTGAAGGCCGAAGAAGGAAGGGGAGGGGAGGGTGCAGCTGTAGGGAATAGTGCTGGGGGCAAGGCGGAAGAGATTGGGAGAGAGGTGAGGGCAGCAAGGGTAGAGGAAGGATGTGAAGTAGTGAACTGTGAGGCAACAGCAGTAGTGATGAGTGCTGGAGTGGCAGGGGCAGGGGTGGCTTCTGAGTCGAATCATAAGTCACCTCGTGAAGCAGCAGCAGTAGTGAGGAGAGCTGGAGTGGCAGAGGCAGGGGTGGGGAAAACACAGGGGGAAAGAGCAGCTGCAGTAGCAGCAGTAGCAGAGGAATCAGCAGGGAGAGAAGCGGAAGAAGAGGAATGGAGGATTGCTGGACACGAGGAAGAGAAGGGTGCACAATCAGCACCAGCATCGGCTGCAAATTCGGTTGCTGCATCGACTGGGGCACAGATTGCAGCTGCTGAAGCAGCGGCAGCTAAAGCAGCAAAGGCAGCAGCAGCAGACGAAGCAGCAGTGAAACTGTCACCTGTTGCAGCACCATCACTTCCAATAGAAGAGCAGGCTGCAGCTGCAGCAGCACGTGCGCTTTTGTCCTCATTTGAGAGGAGGTGTCCGCCAGGCGGGGAGAGAGGGGTGGTGCTGTATGTGACGACTCTGCGGGCTATGAGGAGCAACTTCGAGGCATGCTGCGCGGTTAGACAGATGCTCAAGGTGAGATGGTGTTTCATGGGTGCTGTGTTTGGTGCTGCGTGTGTCTATGCTAAGAACTGTGCGGAGCAACTTTGAGGCGTGCTGCGCTGTCAGGCAGATGCTCAAGGTGAGAAACGACAGGAAATTGGAGAGAAGCAGGGAAACGGATTCTGAAGAGACCACAACGCATGCGCCTCTTCTTTCCCCACACACATCATCACCCCCTCTCCCCCTCGTTGTTCTCTCCATCTTTCTGCTTCACGGTCCCTCTCAGTTTTCCCCAACCCCAATCAGGCCCTCCGCATCCCCTTTCACGAGAGGGACGTGTCTCTCCATCTGCCCTACCGCCAGCTCAGTCCCGCCCAGCTCTCCTCCTCCCTCTTCCCTCATTGCTCTCTCCCCTCCCCTTCCTCTCTCCCCCAATCAGGCCCTCCGCATCCCCTTTCACGAGAGGGACGTGTCTCTCCATCTGCCCTACCGCCAGCTCAGTCCCGCCCAGCTCTCCTCCTCCCTCTTCCCTCATTGCTCTCTCCCCTCCCCTTCCTCTCTCCCCCAATCAGGCCCTCCGCATCCCCTTTCACGAGAGGGACGTGTCTCTCCATCTGCCCTACTGCCAATCCAGTCTCAACCAGGTCTCCTCTTCCCTTCCCTCTTCCCTCATTGCTCTCTCCCCTCCCCTTCCTCTCTCCCCCAATCAGGCCCTCCGCATCCCCTTTCACGAGAGGGACGTGTCTCTCCATCTGCCCTACTGCCAATCCAGTCTCAACCAGGTCTCCTCTTCCCTTCCCTCTTCCCTCATTGCTCTCTCCCCTCCCCTTCCTCTCTCCCCCAATCAGGCCCTCCGCATCCCCTTTCACGAGAGGGACGTGTCTCTCCATCTGCCCTACTGCCAATCCAGTCTCAACCAGGTCTCCTCTTCCCTTCCCTCTTCCCTCATTGCTCTCTCCCCTCCCCTTCCTCTCTCCCCCAATCAGGCCCTCCGCATCCCCTTTCACGAGAGGGACGTGTCTCTCCATCTGCCCTACCGCCAGCAGCTGAGAGCCCTCATAGGCCGCTCCTCTCTCTCCCTGCCGCACCTCTTTGCTGCTGGCCACTGCCTTGGGGGCGCCGCTGCTGTGCTGCGGCTTGAAGAGCAGGGGCTGCTTCTGCCGCTGCTCGCTGCTGCTCTGGCGGATGGTGCTGGCGAGGGAAGGAGTGGGGTTAGTGAAGGTGGAGCGATGGCAGGAAGTGGAACGGGAGAAGGAAGAGCAGCAGGAGGAGCAGAAACGGCTGGAGAGTCGACGAGAGAGGCAAAAGAATTGGGAGCGCAAGGAGGAGAAAGCGGAAGAGAAGAAGCAGCAGGAAAAGCTGGGGAAGGAGCAGCAGCAGCAGCTCTAGTAACAATGGTTCCAGCATTTGGCTGTATAGGCCCAGTGGCCGTGGTACGTGGGGGAGCGCCACAGCCAAGGGCAGGGGCAGCAGCGATAGCAGGAGAAGGTGCAGTACCAGCAGCAGCAGCAGCAGCAGCAGAAGCGGCTACTTCTGCTGAAGCTGCTGGTAGTGCTGCTGGTGCTGCAGCGGCTGTGGCTGTGGCTGCTGTAGTTGCAGCAGAAACTGCATCTGATGCTGCTTGTGTGCCAATGAGCAAAGCCACTGAAGTGGCAGCGGTAGACACCACTACTGGTGCAGCCGCAGCAGCAGTCAGCCACACAAAAGTGTCAGGGGATGGTGACCCTCGTGCCAATAAGACTGCTGCATCGCAAGAGGCTGGTAGGACTGGCTCTGGCTTGACTGGCAGGTATAGCGTGAGAAGAGCACTGTTCCATAGCAGCAATTGGGGCGCAGAAGGTGATAATGCGGGCAGCAATGTTGCTGCCAGGGATACCCCTGCCGCTTTAACCACTTTGAGCGGTCCTGCTGGGGTAGGCCCTGCAGGGGTAGGCCCATTCGTGCCACTGTTTGCTGTGCCAGCAGCTGCCCTGTACTCGGGCGGCTATGGCAGCAGCTGTGGCAGCAACAGCGTGGCGAGTGGAGGCGTATTCGGGGAAGGTTATAGTGGTGTGTCCGGGGAAGGTACATCTGCGGAAGCCTGTGGAGGTACATCTGTAGAAGCCTATACAGGCAAATCTGGGGAAGGTACATCTGGGGAGGCTTACAGAGGTACATCTGGGGAAGGCAGTGGAGGTATATCCGGAGGGGTTTCCAAGGGAACGTATGGGGAAGGTACATCAGTGGAAGGCAATGGGGGTATATCTGGGGAGGTGTACAGAGGAACGTATGGGGAAGGTACATCTAGGGAAGGTCGTAACCAGAGCAGCAGCAGCAGCAGCAGGGGTAGCAGCAGCGGCTTGGGTTCTGCTTGCTTTCCACCTCGCTCCCTCTCCTGCAACGCGGCTGCTGTTGCTGACGTGGCGGTAGCTTCTGCTGCCATGCGTGCACTCGCCCGTCCAGGTGGCAGTGGCAGCAACCTGAGCCGCGCTACGTCAGCACACTCAATCTCTGCAACTGCCAGCCGTTTTACCAGTCGTGCTGCCAGCCGTGCTATCAAGGTGCATGCAGCGCAGCAAGGAAAGAGCTGCTTCACATGTGGCGGGTTGCGGTATCTTATCTGCACTCTGTGTGCGGGCAGTCGCGAGGTGCTATCCAGGGATGGCTGGTCTGTAAGACCCTGTGTGCATTGTGACCCCCGAGGAATCATAGTGTGCCCCCGCTGTAGGGATTTGTAAATTACGGTATGCATACCAGGGTTGAAGTGAAGCACTGCACTCTGTATGGGTGGGGCGCAAATCCTGAGGTGCTAACCAAGGTACGACGTCACCAACTACACCAGGGATTTTACCGGTACCACAAGATTGTTCAGTGTCTATCTGGTACAGAACAAGTGATGCATTAATGCATTACGATAACAAAGACAATCTCGCAAAGAAGAAAGGCTCAAGTGTAGCCTTGAGCCGTGGCGCCTATCTTCATCATGCAGACCACCCAGCCCAAGAAAGCCATCAGCACACCACGACAGCAACATTGGAACTCCGAGAACTAGGTCCATGCCCCTAGCTAACACCACCGAAACTTCCATGTAGGAAACCCAACCAAACCCAAATCTACCCAGCCAAACTCAGCCAGCCCACTTCATAAAGAACAAATCAATGCCCTTTTCTGCCCACGTCCCTAGAAGTTACACTGGTATCATAAAGCCTTTCCCTCTTCCTCCTTTGCCATGACCTTCACGCCCTTCAAGAACCTTCTCTGCTGCCTCTACTCACAGCCCTAAGCTTATTTCAGGCCAGATGCCACCTCCACCTCCTTACATTGACACATTGACCCATGGTGACTCGCACGACCACCAACAGGAGACCCGGGAGAGGTGCTACCTGTGCACATCCCAGCACTGCTACAATCATAGACGGCACCCGGGAGCAAGGCAGGTGATTCAAGGCAGGTAATCTGAGGCGGAAAATTCGCGTTTCGGGCAATTGGGTGGCTTGGAGCGCACATCATGGGAGATGGGGGTCCGAAGGGCGGAGAGCAGGCAGCTTGACGGGAGGGATCGGCAGTACCACCAGGGAGTTGTGTCCCGCGCGTCATGGGGGAACAAGGGCGCGGAGGGCGGAGGCTGCGGCTACTGCTGACCAGGAGGCATGGCTTCTTGTCTAGGGGAGAGGGGTTGGAAGAGGCGGCAATAAGCCTGTCAACTGTGGACGGAGCGGGTAGTACCCCCAAGCCTGTCCGCACTGCCTGCTCTGCGCGCACTGCCTGCATCACCGGCAGAGCTCGAGCATGGTAGCGCCAGTAGTTCCTTGCTGGCAGTCCCTGCTCACGCACCAGCACGGCGCTGCCAACCTCGCTATTCACCTGCCACGTTGCACGAGGCCGCTTCCCTGCGTTCCCTGCTCCTGCTGCCACTGCTGCTACAGTAACTGCAGCTGTTTGCACTGACGTGGGGCACGCAATTAAGTGTGACGCGCTCCCGCCCTTCGCGCTGGCTCCTTCCGCGCCGTTCGCGCGGACGAAAGAGGGTCCTGCTGACGAGGACGTGTGAGAGTCAGCACGGCTGGTCTCAGCGGAAGGGGTCGCAGTAGCAGTCGCAACAGCCCCAGTCGCATTCGGAGTCGCGGCCGCAGTCTCAGTCGCAGACGCAGTCGTAGTTGCAGCGGTTGCAATGACAAACGCCATTGGTTCCGTCGTCGGGCTGTGGGGAGTCTCGGTTGTCGGGGGGGTACTGCTAGTAACTGTCGGACTGTCCCGCGCGGTCAGCCGCGACTTGCGCTTGTCGCGGATCATCTCGGGGGTTTCCTGGTCGTCCGAAGGATGTGGCGACGCGAGGAGGAGTTTCGACACCTCGCTGCGAAGCGCGTCTGCGCCGTCTGCGTTCCCCTCGCCGTCCGCGCCAACTATGCCGTCCGCACCGTCCGCGCCGGCGTCGCTGCTGTGCGACGCGAGGAGGAGCTTTGTAACCTCGCTGCGAAGCGCGTCTGCCCCGCCGTCACTGCTGTCGCCCACACCGTCCGCGTTCTCCGGCCCGTACGCTCTCTCCGCATCGTCCGCGGTGCCAGATACGCCGCCCGCTGTCGTCATCGAATCGCCGTCGTTATCGCCGAAGTAATCGTCGCATTCATGTAATAACAGATCTAACCTCCACTCTCGAACAGCTTCAGGTATCACGTCAGATTTCGCCGCAGGTGTCGCCGCAGGTGTTGCCTCTGGTGTAAACGCAGTTGTCGTCGCAGGTTGCGCTGTCGCTGGAGACGACCCATGCATCGCAGGAGTTGCATGAGTCGCAGGAGTTGCATTAGTCGCAAGAGTCGCATGAGTCGCACCAGTCCCGGTCGTGCGGGGATCTACCACAGCTACTGCATAGACGTCGCTAGCCACCTCCCCAACCTCATCTGGCGGCGCACTTCTTGCGGAATTGTTGCCTTTCTTACGCTTGCGATCGGCAGTTGCCGTGGGCGACAGAGTCATTATACTGCTACTATTAGTAGCGGGCAGCAGAGTGACTTTACTTCTCGTATCACTTCTAGTAGGCTGATTAGCCGTGTCATTGGTGACGTCAGACAGCGCCGACCGTGGAATTTCAACAGCCCGTCGTTTAGCGGTACTAGTAGTAGTACTACGGCCGAATGTACTACTAGCCATGGCTGCCAGATCCGTACGGAGAAATCGCGATTGGGTGCCTGTTGCAAGGATCAAGGCTGTCTGATCGCTTTTACTTCTATACGAAGGAGCTTGTGATCAGAGCTATCGTCAAGCGCTGCGACTCACTAAAGCGAGCTGCTCATGGAAGACTATGAAGCGAGGAACCGACTAGCATTGACTAAGAAACTCTGCGTTTCCGAGGAGGTGAGAGCGAGGAGGTAGTAACGATGGCGACCTGGGAGAAAAGAAGCAACTGCAGGACAGCAAGGCCTGAGTCTGCGACGAAGACTTGTGGAAGTACGTTTTTTCGCCTTGACGGCTCAAATACGAGCGATTATCCCACCATTTCAGAATCAGCGAAGCAGCAGAACGCCGCCATGAAAGAAAGGGAGGAGAGATGAAGAGGAGGTTGCGAGGAGAATGGCTGGGGTCTGGGGGCTGCACGATGTGGAAGGAAATGTAATATGGCGGCTAGATGTGTGCTTTTCCGTGGTCAGTTTCAGAGATTGCCGCCAAGCCATTTGAACCAAATTTCCCTTGGCGGCGCGGCTCGCGCTTCGCATGCAAAGGTCGAATGACATGCTGCGTGTATCCGCTTTGAAGCATCCGTCTCTTGCTAAGGAGATTGTAGTGCTTAGTTGAATAAGCGTTTACGGTAGGCTGCCTAGGTGCTAATGGATAGTGACCCTAGAATCAAATTATGTGAAGATCGAAAATGATGTCCAGATAAATAAGAGGCGTGAGACAGATGTTAAGTTTTATATAATCAGTAAACCAGAAACTTTGGATAATAAAGAAAACGCCAACAGATAGTGGAGCTTGCTATATATATTTAATCACTGTAACATATAATTTGGTGCCAGCCTGGTCGGGGTTACTGCCACGTGAGCACGCGCTTTCTGATCCGTAGCGTGTGGCTGAAATATGGGGGCGGCTTCGCCAGCGTGGCTGGCCCTCGGCCATGTGGAACCCACGACAGTTCGCGCCATGTGGTGTCAGCAGCGCTGCGCCCCCGTAAACCATCTCAGGAGGCCCAAGATATTGCCCGTGAAATAGCACATTTTCAGGAGGACCAGAGTCTGCCCGTTTTCCCAAAAGCAGCCCGCGCAATCACCACCATCGAAGAAACAGAGTATATCCGATCAAATTTACCAACATTTCACCGCCTCTTACCGTCCTAGATCGCACCTGAAACCATGACAGCGCATCCCACTCCCTCGGCAGCACCAGACAATTCCCTTTTCCCTTTCATCCATGCCTTGACCTTCCATCATCGCCCATCCCACCTCCACCCACTTGCTGAAATGCCCCCCGCAGCAGACAATTCACGTGCTGCCCAGACCAGGCGTACCCTAGACTAGAGCCCACCACACCATTTCTCCCTCTCCATTTTCCGCTTGTTTTAGGTTCCAGGCATTTCCTGTCACAGGTTCCCAGCCTGTGTCCTTATTGTGTGGGCCTGGGCATTCTTCAACTCGTCAACTGCTGACGCGTCTCCTCGCGTCGCTTAACCTAGCGACAATGGAGGCTCTTACGAAGTCTCTTGTCCGTCCGCCGCTATGCGCCTCGGCGTCGCTTTCCAGCCAGCAGTCAGTCGCCGTCAAATCGTCCTCTCGCGGCGGATCCTCGTCTTCGTTACCGTCAGTTTCCAAGGCCGTTCCTCTGACCGCAAACCGCTCCTCATCGAGCCGCACCGTCAGGACTTTCGCGCTTCCGAGCGATGATGACGCCATCGCCTTAAATTCCGGAAAGAGTCTGGAGGAGCTCGAGGAGACGATTCGCCGAATCGCGGAGGAGAACGAGCAGCTACGAGCTCGAGCCGCGGCCGCCGCGGCCAATGCGCGCCGCGCCGAGACCGCCTTTAAAGGGGATGTCGACGTGTCAAGGCCGCGCTTGGGCGCCGTGCCGCCGCCGCCTCCGCCGGAGTACGCGGCAGCGCCTGTGGTCGAATATTTGGATACGACTGTAGGGGGAGTGCCTGCAGAGGAGGTTGCTGCAGTCGAAGCTGAATACCTCGTCGAAGGTCCGTTGTTAGTGTTAGCACGACCAATTTCAGGGGCTTACAGAAACATCGGTCGTAGTAATGTTGGTAGTGTTGGCAGTATCGGTAGTGTTGGTGCTGCGTTCTTTGTTTGAGTTCGTTCAGAGGAGCTGAATGCTGCAGTCGAACCTGAATACCTCGTGGCCACTTATCATGGTCCGTTACTTCGTCCGTTACTTCAAGAAGCTATGGTCTAGGTAGTGTCCGTATTAGTTGTTGCGTTGGTCGTGGTGCTGTTGAGCATTGCGTTCCTTCCCCCATTCCCCCTTCTGCCCATCCCCCGTTTCCTCTTCCCCGCAACTGCAGAGGCAGAGGCGGAGGGCGCGCGAAGCTGGCGGGATAGTTTAAATGAACAACCCCGTTCTCCCACCCCCCATCTCCCCCCTCGTCTCCCCCGTTTCCTCTTCCCCGCAAGTGCAGAGGCAGAGGCGGAGGGCGCGCGGAGCTGGCAGGAGGCGGTGGCGGCGGCGGAGGAGCAGGAGGCCGCCACGTCAGCAGCGGCGGATGGCAACCCCGAGATTATCGCAGCAGGCGGGATCGAGCCCGTTCAGAAGACGGATAACCCCATGAGGTGCGGTGAGAAGGCGTGAAGTGCGGTGAGAAGGCGTGAGGTGCGGTGAGGAGGCGTGAGTTGCGATGAGTAGTAACCAAGGTCACATTGAACGCAAGAGGAGAATGCGAACGCCTTGCGATGCTTGAGTCGACTTAAAGGTCACCTTGAGGTCGTCGTCCCGAAGACGGGAAATCCCATAAGATGCGGCGAAAAGGCGTGAGGTGCGGTGAGAAGGCAGGCCGTGTTAGTTCTATAATGTGTTGTTAACCACATGGAACAGAATGTCGATTCCAGCATTGTGTTCGTGGCGTCAGAGGTGGCGCCTTCCTTACTCCAAATCCGGCTGGCTGGCGGGACGTGGTGGGGTCGCTGCTGCCGCTTATCCATTCACCTCTCATTCCCGTTTCCCCTCTCGTTTTCCCTCGTGCTACTGCAGCATTGTGTTCGTGGCATCTGAAGTAGCCCCTTATTCCAAGACGGGAGGCCTGGCAGACGTGGTGGGGTCGCTGCCGGTGGCGCTGGCAGCGAGGGGGCACCGTGTGATGGTGGTGGCGCTGCTGGACTGGTGCCAGTGCTCCACTCCCCTCATCTTCCCCCGTTCCCCCTCATGTCTCCCCTCTTTCACCTCATGTCCCCCTCGTGCAACCCCTCGTGCTACCTCCAGCATTGTGTTTGTTGCATCCGAGGTAGCTCCCTATTCCAAGACGGGCGGGCTGGCGGACGTGGTGGGGTCGCTGCCCGTAGCGCTGGCAGCGAGGGGGCACCGTGTGATGGTGGTGGCGCCGCGCTACATGAACGGCGTCACTGACAAGCTCTACGCGGGGGCCTTCGACATGCAGGTGGGTGAAGGGGTGCGCTGGCAGATGGGAGGGTGGTGAGTGATAGAGGAGGGAAGGCAGCACATGGTTATGATAGGTACGCGCTGGGAGGGACCTTGTGCTGGCAGCGCGGGCGCACTGATTGATGGTGGTGGCGCCGCGCTACATGAACGGCGTGACTGACAAGCTCTATGCGGGCGCCTTTGACATGCAGGTGGGTGGGTGGCATAGGACGGCACTCAAGTCACAAATACGTAGGGGTGACACAGAGCAGTGGTGGGTAGGGAGGGCATGCTGGCAGCGAGGGGGCACCGTGTGATGGTGGTGGCGCAGCGCTACATGAACCACAGGGTCTTTCACCCCGTCTTTGATCTGTTTCCTTCCGCCCCTTCCGCCACTTTCCACCACTCTCATTTCCCAAATCTCTTCTCCTGCCTCCCTCCTGTCTCTCTCTACCCTGTCTCTCCCTCCTCTCCCCCACCTTTTCCCCCTTCCGCCCCTGTTCTTCCTCCCGCCCTGTGTGTGCACGATCACAGTGTCGCATCAAGTGTTTCTGCTTCGAGGGTGCGCACGAGGTGGCCTTCTTCCACGAGTTCAGAGACGGCGTTGACTTTGTAAGGCCGGCGTTGACTTGCGTTGACTTGCTAAGTTGCTCTGTGTCGCACACTGGCACACCTCTTCATCATCTCGTCACCAAACGAGGTGGCCTTCTTCCACGAGATCAGAGACTGGCGTTGACTTTTTAGGACCTTCTTTGACTCTGTCTGTGAGACCTGACCTGCGTTGACTTTGTTCTCATCACCCTATCACCTCACCACACGAGGTGGCATTCTTCCACGAGTTCAGAGATGGCGTTGACTTAGTAAGACCTGACCTGCGTTGACCAGATTGGCTGACTGGCTGTCCTCTTTTTAACACCTTCCGTTTCTTCCCCACGCCTTGCCCAGATCGCCTTAACATTTTTTTCTACCCGCCCTAACACCTTGCCTTCCCATCTCACACCCTCCCTCTCACTCACTCCCTCTCTCTAGCACTCACACTCACTCTCTCCTTCTCCCTGTTTCCCCTTCCCCCCTTTCCCCATCGTAGGTGTTTGTCGACCATCCATCGTACCACCGCCCCGGCACGCCCTATGGCGATCAGAACGGCACGTTTGGCGACAACCAGGTGGGCGGGTGGGAGAGATGGTGACTGGCTGAGATGCTTTCTGGGTGCTGGGTGCTGCAATGTCGTAACTCTCATCCCATGAATGCGTGTGCGTGGCTGCTGTTCGTTCATTCATGCAATTCAGCTTTGAGATGTCTCAGAGTTCAATGCCTGACCTCTTTGAGGCGCTTCAAGGGACGTCTCAAGACTTGATTTCCCTTCGTATGAATGCGTGATTGTTGAGACGAGTGCTGCTGCCTTGCCCCTCTCTATGCCTCACTGTCCCTCTTTCCCCGCCTCCCTTTTTTCATTATTCCCGCTGCGTTGTTCTCCTTCATCCTGCCTCCCTTCCCCCTCACCAGTTCCGCTTCACGCTGCTGTGCCACGCAGCCTGCGAGGCCCCACTGCAGCTGGAGCTGGGAGAGTTCACTTACGGAGGGAAAATGCTGCCTCCATGCCTCACTGCTCCCTTTCCCCCACTCCCCCTTCCCCTTCCACCCTTCCTCCCCTCCTCCAGTTCCGCTTCACGCTGCTGTGCCATGCGGCGTGCGAGGCCCCCCTGCAGCTGGAGCTGGGCGGGTTCACGTACGGGGAGAAGGTCTTATTCATTGCCAACGACTGGCACGCGGGGCTGCTGCCCGTGTGAGTGGAAAGGGAGGGAAAAGGGGGAGAAGAGGGGGTTGGAGAGGGGGAATGGGACAGCTGGAGCTGGGCGGCTTCACGTGCGGAGAGAAGGTGCTGTTCATTGAGTCGAGTTTTGAGTCGACTCAAAACTCGACTCATTACATGCAGAAGGTCCTGTTCATTGCTAACAACTGGCACGCTGGGCTGCTGCCTGTGTGAGTGTGTGGGGAACGAATGAGGGGAGAGAGGACCGTAGTGAGAGCGAGTGAGTGAGTGAGTGAGTGCAGCTGGGCGGGTTCACATACGGAGAGAAGGTTCCTTTCATCGCCAATGACTGGCACGCGGGGCTGCTGCCCGTATGAGTGGAGAGATATGGGGGTGCGGAGAGACAGGTGGAGCTGGGCGGATTCACGTATGGGGAGAAGGTCCTGTTCATTGCCAACGACTGGCACGCAGGGCTGCTGCCCGTGTGAGTGGAAAGGGAGGGGAGGAGAGGGGAAGAGGGGGAGCGGGAAGGGGGGGAGACGCAGGTGGAGCTGGGCGGATTCACGTATGGGGAGAAGGTCCTGTTGATTGCCAACGACTGGCACGCTGGGCGGCTGCTGCCCTCTCTCTTCTCCCTCCCCATCAGTCTCGTGGGTCCCACCCAACCAACTACTGCTCCCATGGTGTGTGTATGAGATTTCTCTAACCAACATTTTCTCCCAACTTCCCTCTTTTACCCCTTGCCCTCTCCCCTCCTTCCATTCCTCCTTCCCTGCCCCCCCTCTCTCCTTTCCCCCACATCAGCCTGGTCGCATCCAACTACCGCCCCCACGGCGTCTACAAGGATGCTCGCACCATCCTTGCCATCCACAACCTCTCCCACCAGGTGAGGACAAACCTTGCCATGAACAACCTTGTACACCAGGTACAACATGTTGTATTCATATGCCTCCCCAACTCCCGCTTCATCTCCATCCCCCACTCCCTCTCCCTCAACCCGCCACACAGTCAACCCTCGTGTAGTGAGGTGATTTTTGAGGTGCCTCAAAAATCTTCTCCACCCCCCACTCCCTCTCCTCCTACCCGGCACAACGTCAACCCTTCTTTCTCACCCTCTGCACTGCTTCTTCTCTTTCCTTTTTCCCACTTGCCTCCTCCATAGGGCGTGGAGCCAGGCTACACGTTCGGCAGTCTTGGTGTGCCAGGCGACTGGTACGGTGCACTGGAGTGGGTGTTTCCCGAGTGGGCGCGCAAGCAAGCAACCTCCCTCTTCTTTCCCCTTCCCCGTGTTCCCTCCTCCCCGTCCCCGTCCTATTACAGGGCGTGGAGCCAAGCTACACGTTTGGCAGTCTCGGTGTGCCCGGTGACTGGTACGGCGCCCTTGAGTGGGTGTTCCCCGAGCGATCGCGCAAGCAATCTCCCTCTTCCTTCCCCTTTAACATGGTCCCACCCTGTTCCCCCTCTCCGCTTTCCACCAAATGACAGGGCGTGGAGCCAGGCTACACGTTCGGTGGTCTGGGAGTGCCGGGCGATTGGTACGGGGCGCTGGAGTGGGTGTTTCCCGAGTGGGCGCGCAAGCACGAGTTGGACAAGGGCGAGGCGGTGAACATCCTCAAGGGGGCCATTGTGACTGCCGATAGGATCGTGACAGTCAGCCCGGTACGTGTGTGCCAGCATGTGTGGGCATGTGGGCTGGGCGCTCGCGTTGCGGGGCAGCCTGGCAGGTGCATGTGACCTGTGCACATGCGGTGGCAAGGCAATGCAAGCACGAGCTGTGACACACGTCTCAAAACTATACCTTACTTCATCACATCCGTGAAAGTCAGCCCGGTATTTTTTGAGAATTCTAAAAAAATGTGTGCTGCACCTTCTCCCCCTCATCCCTCTACCCACCCCCTTCTCCGCCCCCTTCTGCAGGGCTATGGATGGGAGATCACGACAGTGGAGTGCGGGTGGGGGCCTGCCTCCTTGCCTATTCACCCGCTCACCTCCCCCCTCCCCCCTTCATCCCCCCCTTCCCTCCCCCCTTGTGCAGGGCTATGCCTGGGAGATTACGACAGTGGAGGGCGGGTGGGGCCTGCCCTTTCTCCTATTCACCCGCTCACCTCCCCCGTCCCCCCGTCTCCTGTTATCCCCTCCCTGCCTCTGCGGTGCAGGGCTATGCCTGGGAGATAACAACAGTGGAGGGCGGGTGGGTCACGTCACACATACCCTTCCCCCACTCATCCCGTCCCCCTCCCTCTCAATCCCCCTTTTCCCTCCCCCCTTCCCCTCGCATTGCAGGGCTATGCCTGGGAGATAACAACAGTTGAGGGCGGGTGGGGACTGGATGGGCTGCTCCGGGGGCGAAGCTTCGTGCTCAATGGTAGGAAGCTTCACTCAAAAGCATTTATTAGAGACTGATATGACGGGAATTGGTGTGATTGTTCGTTATTTTCAGGCTTTCGTGTTTGTTTGTTTGTTTGTTTGTTTGTTTGTTTGTTTGTTTTCGTGTTTCTACATGTGTCTTTATTATTCATGTACCATCACCTGTTTCCCCCCTGGGCTGGCTCCCGCCTACCGTCTATGCATACCCCCTCCCCCACCCTCTTCCTTCCCCCTCCACTGCCTATATACATGTACCACCGCCTTTGACACTCCCTAAACTCCCATCTCTTCACTTGTCCTCTGGTACAGGAGTGACCAACGGGGTTGATGTGGTGGATTGGAACCCTGCTACAGACAAGCACATTCCCTCGCAGTACACCGCTGCTGATATGGCCGGCAAGGTGCGATGGGGTGCAGGGGAAAGGCGAGGTGGGGGGAAAGGCGAGGTGGGGGAAAGGCGAGGTGGGGGGAAAGGCGAGGTGGGGGGAAAGGCGAGGTGGGGGGAAAGGCGAGGTGGGGGGAAAGGCGAGGTGGGGGGAAAGGCGAGGTGGGGGGAAAGGCGAGGTGGGGGGAAAGGCGAGGTGGGGGGAAAGGCGAGGTGGGGGGAAAGGCGAGGTGGGGGGAAAGGCGAGGTGGGGGGAAAGGCGAGGTGGGGGGAAAGGCGAGGTGGGGGGAAAGGCGAGGTGGGGGGAAAGGCGAGGTGGGGGGAAAGGCGAGGTGGGGGGAAAGGCGAGGTGGGGGGAAAGGCGAGGTGGGGGGAAAGGCGAGGTGGGGGGAAAGGCGAGGTGGGGGGAAAGGCGAGGTGGGAGGAATGATGGGCCAGTGAGATTGGCATCTTTAAACCCTGCCACGGACATGCACATGCCATCGAAGCACACCGCTGCTGATATGGCCGGCAAGGTGCGATGGGGAGGAAGGTGTGTACGTACGTGCGCTTGCCACTCTGTATGATTCTGTATCACTCTGCATCACTCTGCTTCATTCTTCCCCAGTCAATCCATCCTCCCTTTCATGCGTCCAAGCTGAGTGGTATGCAAAGAATCTCTGAAACTTGTTTACACTTTGCCATTTGCGAAGTCAATATCTGCCCTCAACCGTTCACTCACAATCATCATGAACAGCTCTCTATCCCCATGTTCCGCTTTCCCCCTCCCCCTACCCACGCGGTTGCCATGGTAGGCGGCATGCAAGGCAGCACAGCACTGCAACAAAATCTGCGCATTCATCCAGGCCTGCCAAAAAACTCTCCTCTAACATCTGTGCCCCACTTTCCACCCACCTCGTATCACAGGCAGCATGCAAGGCGGCACTGCAGCAGGAGCTGGGTCTGCCTGTCCGACCTGATGTGCCTCTGGTGAGAGACACACGTGCCCCTAACGAGGGTCGTGAATTCTTCAGTGGGAAGGTGGGATCTGGTGGGAGGGAGGGTGGGATCTGGTGGGAGGGAGGGTGGGCTCTCGTAGGAGTGGGAGGGTGGGATCTGGGGGAGGGTGGGACTATGACGGGACATGTGGCAGTGGCAATGCGATTCCAGCAGCAGCGTTGCTGACCTGCTTGCACGGGTTCTGGTACTGAGTTTAGTGAATTTTCAGCTCTAAGACACACCTACTCTGCTCAGTTGACAATCTTGCTCCCACCCACCTCCCTCATCCCTCCTCCCCACTCCTCCCTTCTCCCTCATTCCTCCTCCCTCCTCCTCCCTCCTCCCAACTCCTCCCTTCTACCTTCTCCCTCCTCCCTCCTCCCTCCTCCTTCCTCCTTCCTCCTCCTCCCTCCTCCCTCCTCCCCACTCCTCCCTCCTCCCTCCTCCCTCCTCCCTCCTCCCTCCTCCCTCCTCCCTCCTCCCTCCTCCCTCCTCTCTCATCCGTCTTCCTTCCCTCTGGTCCGCCCCCCCCTCACATCCTCTGTTCCCCCTCGCACCAGATTGGGTTCATTGGGCGACTGGACTGGCAGAAGGGCCCGGATGTGATTCAGGCAGGAGTGCCAGAGCTCATGACAGATGACGTGCAATTCGTGAGTGGAAGGAGTGGAAGCGGGGCTTTATTATAGCGGGGGTTGACAGGTTTGTGTGTGTGCGCGCGGGCGCGTGTCCGTCTGCTCACGCGCGCGCTGTGTGTGTGTGAGTGTGTATTTGCGTGCGCGTGTGTGCGTGCGTGCGTGTGTGTGTGTGTGTGTGTGTGTGTGTGTGTGTGCCTGTGCCTGTGCGTGTGCATGTGTGTGCGTGTGTGTGCGTGTGTGTGTGTGTGTGTATGTGTGTGTATGTGTGTGTGTGTGTGTGTGTGTGTGTGTATGTGTGTGTGTGTGTGTGTGTGTGTTTAGCGCCTCAATAATTGTTTCAGGCAGGAATGCCGGAGCTCATGTCTCAGTGGACATGCAGTTTGCGAGTGGAGGCAGGGGAGGGGATGAGGGGGGGAGCCTCAATGCCGAGGATAGGCTGGGAAGGGTTGCCTTGTTGCGAGGCGGGGGTTGGGTTGGGAATGCTGTTTGCTCCATATGGGGGATGAGAGTGCCAGGGTAGGTACAGTCATCCAATTCAGCGGATAGGGATATGATGTATACGTACGAGGTGGTATTAGGTGGCAGTGTGAGAGCTGCCCCATGCATATCCAAAACCCTCTCTTTCTCCCCTTCCTCTCTTGCTTTCAAATCATGCTGGGCATCGGCAACGCTGAGTACAGGGGCATGGGCGGATGGCAAATATTTACCTGCCCCTTGCATATCCTCTTCCCATGCCCTCCCTCTCACTCCTCTTCTTCCCACCGTCCTTCTCAGGTCATGCTGGGCAATAGAGATGCTGAGTATGAGGCGTGGAAGGTGTGGGCGGAGGGCAAGTATCAACCTGTTGCCTGCATGCATACACCCTAACCACCACTCTTTTTCTCACCCTCCTGCACGCCATGCTGGGGAGCGGAGACGCGGATTACGAGTCATGGATGGCGTGGGCGGAGGGCGAGTATCAACCAAAATGTCCCCTGCATATCTAGACTCTAACTACCATTCTCTTCCTTCCCATGCCCGCTGTTCTATGCCCTCCTGCAGGTCATGCTGGGCAGCGGAGACGCGGAGTATGAGTCGTGGATGGCCTGGGCAGAGGGCGAGTATCGCGACAAGTTCCGCGGCTGGGTGGGCTTCTCCGTGCCCGTGGCTCACAGGATAACTGCGGGGTGAGTGAGGGTGACAGCTGGGTGAGTGAGGGTGACAGCTGGGTGAGTGAGGGTGAGTGAGGGTGACGGCGGGGTGAGTGAGGGTGACAGCGGGGTGAGTGAGGGTGACGGCGGGGTGAGTGAGGGTGACAGCAGGGTGAGTGAGAGTGGCAGCAGGGTGAGTGAGGGTAACAGCAGGGTGAGTGAGAGTGGCAGCAGGGTGAGTGCGGATGGCCGCGGGGTGACTATGGATGACCGGGCGCGTGTGGTGAGTGTCGTTCCCTCTCCTCCTTTGTTGTGCCTTGAGCTGTGCTGTTCCCCGCTGCCATTCCTTCTTTTCATCCCGCTCCCTTGCCACCCCCTTGCTCACCATCCCCATGCTGTTCTGTCCCAACAGCTGTGACATCCTGCTCATGCCGTCACGCTTTGAGCCGTGCGGGCTGAACCAGCTGTATGCCATGCGATACGGCACCATCCCTGTCGTTCACGCCACTGGCGGGCTGAGGGTGAGTGGGAGATGGTGATTGGGTGGGTGAGGCTGGGTGCAGGGAGGGAGGGTGAGTGCAGCAGAGGCAGAACCAGCTGTACGCCATGCGATACGGCACCATCCCCGTCGTGCATGCCACTGGCGGCTTGAGGGTGAGTGCTTGGGAGGGGGGCTTAGGGAGGAGTTAGGGTGCAGCAGCGGCTGAACCAGCTGTACCGTACGCAATGCGATACGTCATTCTTTATCTTATCTCCCCCTCCTTGCCATTCCCCATCCCCTTCTTCTCTTCCTCCAATCCAACCCCCGTAAACCAAACCCAAGCGTTGGTGCAGGACTCCGCACCTCGGTGCAGGACTCCGCACCTCGGTGCAGGACTCCGCACCTCGGTGCAGGACTCCGCTTCCGTTTTCACGCCTAGCCCCAACGCCCTACTGCTCCCTTGTTTCTCCCCCACCTCCCCACTTCCCCCCTCTCCCCTCTGTGCTGCCACCTCAGGACACGGTTCAGGACTTCAACCCGTTTGCCAATGAGGCCTTGGGCGCTGGCACAGGGTGCCACTGCTCTCTCCCACTTTTTTCCACTTCGCCCTTCAAATCCGCCCTTCTTTCTTCCCGCCTCTCCTTCCTTCTCCCTCCCTCCTCTTCCCCCTTCCTCCCACCCACCTCAGGACACGGTTCAGGACTTCAACCCGTTTGCCAATGAGGCCTTGGGCGCAGGCACAGGGTGCCACTGCTCTCTCCCACTTTTTTCCACTTCGCTCTTCAAATCCGCCCTTCTTTCTTCCCGCCTCTCCTTCCTTCTCCCTCCCTCCTCTCCCCCCTTCCTCCCACCCACCTCAGGACACGGTTCAGGACTTCAACCCGTTTGCCAATGAGGCCTTGGGCGCTGGCACAGGGTGCCACTGCTCTCTCCCACTTTTTTCCACTTAGCTCTTCAAATCCGCCCTTCTTTCTTCCCGCCTCTCCTTCCTTCTCCCTCCCTCCTCTCCTCCCTTCCTCCCACCCACCTCAGGACACGGTTCAGGACTTCAACCCGTTTGCCAACGAGGGCTTGGGCGCTGGTACAGGGTGAGCAGATTGGGAAAAGGGATGGGGGGAAGGTGGGGCTAGGAAGGGACAGAGGATGGGAGAGAAAAAGGGGGAGGATGGGAGAGGGAGGATGAGACATAATTCTCTCCAGTAAGGAGAAGGGGGGAAAGAAAAATGGAGAGGTGGGGGAAGAAGAGTGGAAAGGGGAAGTGATTCTCGCACGTCAAGCCTCCGTGCCTCCATTTGTCCTTTTCTATTTAGCCCAAGGCTTTTTTCCCCTCCACCCTCCATCTATGACGGTTTTTTTCCTCTACTCTGGCTCATCTCCTTTTCTCCACCACTCCCATTTCCCCCTCTTTTTTCCCCGCACCCTACATTACTGCCCTCCTGCTCTCAATCTCATGTACCCAGATGGACCTTCTCGCCCCTCACCAAGGAAGCCATGATGGGGGTGAGTGCGTATGAGCTTTTGTGTGTGTGTGTGTGTGCGCGCGCGCGCGCGCGTGTGTGTGTGTTTGCTAGGCCGAATAAAGGACAATCATTAACTGGCAATGCTCTTTTCCCAGACCCGACACCCACCACCACCACCCACCACACACCTTTGTACCACTCCGCAACCATGCAGGCTCTGTGGATGGTGATTCAGATGTACAAAGCTTCCATTGTATCTTACTACCACTTCGCATACCTTCCCACCACTCCCCACCCCTGCAGGCGCTGTGGGCGGTGATCTAGACGTACAGAGAGCACAAGGAGTCGTGGGCGCGGGTGATGGAGAGGGGCATGCTGCTCCACGTGCCCTACTATCTCTCCATATAGCTTACCACTCCAAACACCTTATCACCGCCCTAAACACTTTCTCACCATTCTGCACCCATGCAGGCGCTGTGGACGGCGATTCAGACGTACAGGGAGCACAAGGACTCGTGGGCGAGGGTGATGGAGAGGGGCATGGTGCAAGACATGTCGTGGAACAAGGCCGCCGAGCAGTACGAGCAGATCTTTGGCTGGGCCATGCAGGACAAGCCCTATGCTTGATCTAGGAAAGATACCGTATGTGTTGCTGCTCAGTACAGTTGCGACTCAAATGGGATTTTCTGTGTTGATTGATTGGCTTGGCAATTAAGATATCGAGGCATAGCGCACTGGAGGATGTACACCCATTGTATGAAGAGCAGTAGAGCCTCTTTCATGAATGCGTTCATGGCCATGATAGAATGAGAACCCATGAAGCCCTGAAACCAACTGTTTTCGAGATCATGGCAGACAGGGACTGACAAAAGATCTTCTTTGGCAGAAAGCATCAAAATGCGGTGAGCGTGGATCGAACACGCGACCTTCAGATCTTCAGTCTGACGCTCTCCCAACTGAGCTATCCCCGAAAATTTGGAGAAGTGGGGTATCGATCCCCATACCTCTCGCATGCTAAGCGAGCGCTCTACCATCTGAGCTACATCCCCATGCCCAAGCAGGAAAATGGTGTTAATTAGACTTTGTACGCTGTTCCCGTTTCTGGCGACCAGATTTCAGATGCGCAATACACGCTCGACCGACGGCGCTCAGAGAGCCACGCGAGCGGTTCATGGCTGGGCGCATCTGGGCTCAGAACGTCAGGGGGATACGTGGGGCAACATCGAGCCAGTCGCGTGCCACCATCTGTCGTCGTGGCCCTCTCATAGCTTTCTGGGATGACCCAAGCTGACCATTTTTTTTCGTCTGAATGATCTGCCCGTTATCACACACGCCTGCGGCCTTTAGTGCTGAATTTGTCAAAGACATTTGACAAGGAGGCGAGGTCAACGAACAATTGCCTCTGGAAAGAAAACATTTGCTGCTCTATTAATCGCCCACAAATATCTTGGTCCTACCTGATTGTCATTTCGTCTGCCCGTAACTGGGCCTTCGTTTTCCTGGCAAAAGCTTCACCGTCGTCAATGTCCCCTTCCCGCTCGCCCTCGGCTATGGCTGCCAGACACAACACGCGCTTCGCCCCAGTTTTCCGTTTTCCTTGACATTGCCACTCCTCGGCATTGGCAGTGACTCACCATCAAGTCCTTTCTCTCTACGTAGCGTCGGGTGTGCTGCAGATTGTGGTTGGAATTTGTGGTGGAACTACCCTCAGTTCTTGATTACAGTACCCCTTTCTTAGTGTGCCCCAGGCCCCCCTCAACTCCCATCTCACCTATCTGATCCCCTCACATTCGCATCACTTGCCACGGCCTTCCGCAGCGCTCTCAAAATACCTCAGCTCCCTACACCACTCCGCCTCCGCCTTAGTTGCACGGCATATTTCCGTACCGTCTAGTTCAGAGCATCGTCAGTCTTCCTTTTGCTTGACAATTATCAGTCCGCGATGGCGACCGCCGCTGTTTCCCACCTTTCCCGGCGGGCCGCTCTTTGCACAGCCATGAGATCTCAATCCGCCTCTCGTCAGCATCTACCGTCATTTCCTGGTGCGAATCTCCCTGCTGCGTTTCTCGTCTTATCGCCTAGTCGGATCCCCCTTCCCGCGGCCGTACCGCCTTTTATCTCACTGTTGCGTCGTATCTTCCGTTGCTTCATCATTGTCTGTTGTCTCGCGGATTCACACGAAACACACTAGCACCCCGTTGTTAAAAGGTGAATTTCTTACAAGTAGCCTCCTTAAAGGCTGTACTATTACCCCCCTTTATGATCCCCGTCCGCAGGACCGCCTCACGCCGCGCATTCTCATCGCCGTCATCACGCTGTCGTCAGCTTCCGTCGCTCGTCGCTCGCAGGAATCGCACGAGTGACAACATCGAGAGCCAGCCCAAGCCGCACAGCCGCCACGCGGTCTCTCTCCAGGCGCTTTTCGCCCGCGATTCGCGCCTTCACAAATCAACCGGACGCGGCGCGACCCGGCAGCAAGGCATCCCGGATCGCGGCAACAGACGCGGCTCCCTCCCTCCTTGACACGTCCCGACGACAAGCCGCCGCCGCCGCTGCACGTTCCCCTGCCGCCGCCGCCGCTGCACGTTCCCCTGCCGCCGCCGCCGCCGCCGCCGCCGCCTCTGCCGCTGCTTCTGCCGCTGCTTCCACTACAGCCGCCGCTGCCGCGGCGCTCGAGGACTCGCTGTCGAGTCGCGGTATTCCCGAGGCGTATTCAACGGACGCGCAAATCCTGCGCGGCGAGGTGGAAGGATTTGCGGGGATGAACGAGGAGGGCGAGTGGATTCTGCTGTTGCCGTCGGGTCGCAAGCGCCAGTACCCGCGAAAGCGCCACTCGAAACCCCGAGTCCCTCTTGCCGTTGACGCCGTTGACTCCGTTGACCCCGTCGACGTTGACTCTGTTGACCCCGTTGACGCGTCCTTGTCTCTCGCTCCGTCCCCTAAAGCCTTATCCGAAGCGGCAGTGAGAGCGAGAAGGGCGAGGCAGAAACTGCAGCAGCAGCGCCAGCAGCAGAGGGACGAGCCACCGGTTGGGGACTACAACGAAGTGTCGAGCGATTTGACTGCAACTGATGTGACTGAAACGGAAGACGTTTTCTTCTCCGCACCGTCCACACCCTCCTCCCCGTCTTCCTCCTCCTCCTCGTCCTCCCCGCTCTCCCCTCCCTCATCCCAGACCGCGCTGCTGGTTCCCGACTTGCCTTCCGCTTCCCCTCCCGCGCTCGCTTCCGCTCTCGCGCCCGCGCCCGCTCCCGCTCCCGCATCCGCCGCTCCGCGCACCCCGCTGCCCGAATTCGCGCCGCCGCGAGCCGCCGACGCGGTTCAAGAGGCGGAAGGCGGGAGGGACTTGAGGGAGCAAGCGGAGAGGATTCGGCGGGGAACGTTTCAAAAGCGAGTAGTGAGGCTCAGCTTAGCGCGTCCACCATCGGCAATTAGGCGAGCGGCGATAATCAACACAGAAGCTCCGAACCAACTACGGGCGGAGGAAGTAGTAAGGGGCGCGGAAGCGGAGGGGGAGGCGCAGGCGGCGGAGACGCAGGGGGAGCGGGAGGGGGAGGGGCGAGGCGGAGCGGAGGTGGCGGGCGCGTTGAAGGCCGTGAGGCGGCACCTGAATGGGGGGACGCGGAGCGGACTGACGACTGCTAGAGCCATGCTGGACGAGGTGAGTGAAGAGGGGAAGATGCGAGGGAGGATTTGAGGGGAACGTAAGGAGAGAAGCTGCTGTGGCATGTTGCAACGAATCATTAGTTGTATCCGTTTTGCGCAGGACGGCCTGCGAGCCCGTTTTCTTCGCGGTTTCTGACACTCTCCCCGCGTCCTCATCCCCCTGTCCTTTTCCCCTGACTCCCCGTGTCTTCCCTGTCTCCCTACAGCTGCTGTCGCAGCACCCGACAAACCCCCAAGTCCAGGAGCACATGGCTCTGGCAGAACGCAAAGCAGGCAACACTGCAGACGCGAGGGCGTGGTACCGCCGCAGCGCCCAGGTCTACGAGGCTGCTCTGGCTGTCGCCAGTGACTCGCTCTCACGAGACTCACGGGACGCTTCTGTCTCTTCTGTCAGCTACCACGGTGTTGCAAGGCATGCAGTCGCGCGGGAACTGGCAGAGGTGCGCCTGGTGGAGCAGGTTAGTGGAGGTGCGGCGGCAGAGGAGGCTGGGCACCTGAGGGACCAGTGGCACCTGAGGAATCACCTGGGGCGGTGCTTGCAGGCGTGGGCGGGGATGGAGGCGGAGGAGGGCGACATGGTTACCAGCAGACAGCTGTTTCAACGGTCAGTAACAGTGCTGACGCGGGGGCAACTGGGCCAACAGCGACAACAGGAGTGGGAGCATCATTATCATCATCAGCAGCAGCAGCAGCAGCAGAGGGAAACAGGCAGGGCAGTCCCAGAAAGACACGGGGAGCCTTGTGATTGGCCTGCACGCGTGGGCCACGGCTGAGAAGCGCGAAGGAAACTTTCAGGCTGCCCGGAACCTGCTGGAGCAGGCAGAGAAGCTTCAGCCGGGCAGCCCAGTGGTTCTGCAGTCACGCGCCCTCCTAGAAGCTTCTGTGAAGAACCTGGGTGCAGCGCGGTGCTATTTCAAGAAGGCCACTGCTGCTGCTCCTCTTGACGCTGCTTGCTGGCAGGTGGGTGGTTCGCTCATTGTTTATTGACGCGTTCCTGGGTGGTCCCCTCGACGTTTTCTCATCTCAGGACTGCGCTGCCCATTTGCTCTCTGCTCTCATTGCTCGTTCATTCTCCTGTCACTCTTTGCTGCTGCTGCAATCACCCTTACGCCTTCTAAACTCCCCCTCCGATCTGCAATCTTCTCTCTCCTCACTCTCTACAGGCATGGGCCCTCCTTGAGGCAAAATCTGGTCGAGTCGACTGCATGAGGTCCCTGTTCCGCTCGGCCCTATCAGCCAACCCCAAGTCCATTCCCACTCTGCACGCATGGGCGTGTCAGGAGGCCCGCCTAGCCACACCCGAGAGCCGAGAGACGGCCAGGGGGCTGTTCCGGAAATGCTTGGAGGTGCAGCCTGGGTGTGTGCGGGCGCTGCAGGCGTGGGGTGTGATGGAGCACGCAGCAGGGGATGTTGAGGCAGCGAGGAGGCTGTTTGACCGCTGCCTTGAGGCTGCTCCTCACTCAGTCCCCACTCTCCAGGTATGCTCCCTCCACTCTCACCTCACCGCTTGTCAAATGGCTCTCCTTTTTTCTTTTTGAATCTGTAGGGCTGCCTTGTTGTATGGTCGTGCGAGGGTAGTGCGCGGGGGTTGTGAGGGTAGTGTGAGCTGTACTATGCCACATCTCCCTCCACATCTCCCTCCACATCTCCCTCCACATCTCCCTCCACATCTCCCTCCACATCTCCCTCCACATCTCCCTCCACATCTCCCTCCACATCTCCCTCCACATCTCCCTCCACATCTCCCTCCACATCTCCCTCCACATCTCCCTCCACATCTCCCTCCACATCTCCCTCCACATCTCCCTCCACATCTCCCTCCACATCTCCCTCCACATCTCCCTCCACATCTCCCTCTCATGCCTTCTCAACACTCATGCCTTCTCAACACTCATGCCTTCTCAACACTCATGCCTTCTCAACACTCATGCCTTCTCAACACTCATGCCTTCTCAACACTCATGCCTTCTCAACACTCATGCCTTCTCAACACTCATGCCTTCTCAACACTCATGCCTTCTCAACACTCATGCCTTCTCAACACTCATGCCTTCTCAACACTCATGCCTTCTCAACACTCATGCCTTCTCAACACTCATGCCTTCTCAACACTCATGCCTTCTCAACACTCATGCCTTCTCAACACTCATGCCTTCTCAACACTCATGCCTTCTCAACACTCATGCCTTCTCAACACTCATGCCTTCTCAACACTCATGCCTTCTCAACACTCATGCCTTCTCAACACTCATGCCTTCTCAACACTCATGCCTTCTCAACACTCATGCCTTCTCAACACTCATGCCTTCTCAACACTCATGCCTTCTCAACACTCATGCCTTCTCAACACTCATGCCTTCTCAACACTCATGCCTTCTCAACACTCATGCCTTCTCAACACTCATGCCGCCCCCCACTCACCTCGCTCCCTCGTCGCCCTCTTACCTCACAAACATAAGCATGCTTGGAGCGGCAGCAGGGGGACTATCCAAGGCCCGTACCCTCCTAGAGCCCATCCAGGCAACGCTGCAGTGCTACAGCTGGCAGCAGAGGTGGAGGAGGCACTGGGGAATGCAGCAGCAGCGCATGAGCTCTTCGTGCGGGCACACCCCAACAATAATCTCTCCCCTCTCCGCCCCTCCCCCCTTGCTTTACCCGCTCCCCCCACCCCATTCTGCTTTCTCGCCTCTCTTTCCTCACAGGCATACGCATGCTTGGAGCGGCAGCAGGGAAACCTAATCAAGGCCCGTTCCCTCTTACAGCTGGCCCTCTCAGCCCATCCAGGCAATGCAGCAGCACTGCAGCAGGCAGCAGAGGTGGAGGGGGCACTGGGGAATGCAGCAGCAGCGCATGAGCTCTTTGTGCGGGCACACCGGGCGGATAGGATGGTTGCGAGGCGCAGACGGGGGATGTATGAGTCGGCGAAAGAGGGGAGGAGAGAGGCGCAGGAGAGAGGGGTGGTGCCGCGGTGGGTGGTGGGGAAGATGAGGGAGCGGTGGGTGAAAAGGAGAGATGGAGGGAGGTGATGCCAGCCCGGGATGGTGTTAGCGTGCGCTGGTAGGGGATACAGGGATGGTGTTAGCACGCGCTCATGGTGTTAGCAGGCTGTATACCATGAGTGTACCCAGAGTGTATGCTTACACTAGGGGTTGGTGCTCATGGCTTGAGCGACGGAGTGGAATATCGTAGTGTGTGCTGCTGCGGCAATGTGTTGGAAAAGCTTTCTCACTGCCACAGTAGGCAGCTTGTGTACAGCTTATTTTGAGCGTTGTTCAGTTGAACCTTGGAGGTCTATTGAAGGTTTGTCTGAGAAATGAGTTTTTGTGTGCTGATTGTTCGTTTGTTCGTTGAGCTTTGCATTGCAGGGAGGTTGGTTTGTTGCTTACGAGGAGAAATGCTCTGGGAATGTTTGATATTCATAGTGTGTTTGGGGTTTTCTTGGTTGCGTGTTTGTTCTTTTCTTTTTCACCCAATCATTATTCGCGAGTATTGGATGATCTACTAACTCGCTTGTTCTTCCAATTCCACCGCCTTCTGCGGCAGCCAATGAAACTCCTGAGTGCGCGGTAACGAAGAAAATTGAGATTCCATCTCCTCGCGACCGTCTTTTGATGGGGTTCGAGCCGGCTCTGTGGATTGCAGCACGGCGGCGGTTCGAATTTGTGTTCTTGAAACTTCGTCAGCATGTGAGTATTTTTTTCAGACCGAGACTCGCAAACTGAATTTTTGTTTTTTTCTGAGGTGGCAGATCGAATATGAGCCCTCGATCCTCCATCTCTTCCTCAACTACCGCGTCAAATCCTGAAGTGGCCCAGCTAGTTAGCTGGTTCACTTCCGAAAGATGAGGTCCCGGGATCAAATCCCCCCTGCGGCGTGTTCTGCCAGCCCCCCAGAAGGGGGTTACACAGGTGCTCATCTGGGAGTGGATAGAACAACCTCGTTGACCCAGCGAGGAGTGTAAACAAATGGGGAGGCGGGTTACGACCGACAGCCAGGTGTGGTTAACACCCAGAGGGGTTTCCCCCCCTCCTTTAACCTTTAACCTCAACTACCGCGTCACAAGTGTCTACATCGGGCAGCTCGAAAGCTGCATTATTGCCCTTGAACTACACGCACTTTCATCATGTTAGTAATATAAACACATCACACTGAGGAGATTATCCAAAGTACAAACTTCTGTATCAACTATCCCGAACCATCAAGTGTATTCCCCGTTCATTATTACGAGTAATGTTCTTCCAATTCCACCGCCTTCTGCGGCAGCCAATGAAACTCCTGAGTACGCGGTAACGAAGAAAATTGAGATTCCATCTCCCTCGCAGCCGTCGTTTGATGGGGTTCGAGCCGGCTCTGTGGATTGCAGCACGGCGGCGGATCGAAATTGGGTTCCTGAAACTTCGTCAGCATGTGAGTAATTTTTTCAGACCGAGACTCTTGAAACTGATTTTGTGCCTTTCATTTTCTGAGGTGTGCAGATCGAATATGAGCCCTCGATCCTCCATCTCTTCCTCAACCACGGCGTCACAAGTCTCTACATCGGGCAGCTCGAAAACTGCATTATTGCCCTTGAATTATCATCGCACCGAAATTGCGTAATTCACATTCAGCAGCGTTACCAGAGTCGTTTTGCGAGTACTCTCGCGCATTTCACGGCAGAAGGCAGAAACTTACGTCCCTCGATGTCGCGCTCTCGTTTCTTTACGTCCATCGAAATCGACTCATCCCGTCTATAAAATCTTGTCGCAAAACAAGCTCTAAACATCAGTCTCGATTCATATCTTATAATCTCAGTTCTCAATCTCTCCCAGCTATCCCATCACGCTATCATGGCTCGCGCCATCCTCTCTGTCGGCCTCGCGATCTTCCTCGCTGCAATCCTGGCGCTCTCTTTCGCCCAAGGTACGGCCCGTATACTCTCGTCCTATCGCGAAACCTAAGCCGAGGCCCTGTCATTTCGCCCTCACTCGTGTTGCATTTCTCCCTCCTCTCTCTCGCCTCCGATGCAGCCCCACGCGCACCTGCACACCACACTTACTAGTTCAACGCCATTTCCACATCACTCGTATTTTCCGTATGCAGCCTGTGGCAGCTCAAGAGCGCTGGCTCTTGACTGAAAATACACATCGTTGGCTCCGCTCTCGTGTTTAGTTTCTCGCGGTTGCTTCACTCTGTCTGAATCGCGGCACTTGCTTCACTCTGCCTGAATCGCGGCACTTGCTTCACTCTGCCTGACTCGCGGCACTTGCTTCACTCTGCCTGACTCCGCTCTTCCCCCCTGCACCGACCGCGCCATTGTTTTCTTTTCACGGCTCCCCTTGATCCCTTAATCCCCCGCCAATCCCCTATCCGCCGCTCACTCCCTCCTGCCCGGGGCACACGACCTCCAATCTGCCCACACATCCCCATCTCACTCTTCCCATGTCTTCTCTCTGCCCCTCACTCCTCTCACTCCCCTTAACCTGCCCCTACCAGCAACGAGCGCCGAGGCGGCAGGCGTCGTCACAGCAGAAACCTCGGCGAGTGCCGGCCAGCCCAACGGAGATCTCGAGCCGCAGCACCACCGCAGGCTCCTTTGGAGGGCAATCGACGATGGTACGATGATGCCATCATCATAGAATAAACGATCGGGGAGCCGATCTACTTGTACGGACAAGCCAAACATAGAATGCCATTCTATGAACGATCAGGTTCTCTGCTGGTCCCCCTATGTGCATTTCCAGAGTTCTCCAAATGCCTTTGCTTTTCCTTGCGGATCGCTCCATGCCGTGCCGTCTGAGATTGCGAAGCGGCGGGCTTCATTCTGCAGCAATGAAGACACTACGCGCTTTGAAACCGCTTTTCTTCTGGCCGATAAATACTCACAACCCGTGCTCCTCAAACCTCCTATTCTGCCTGCTTCCTCACTTGTCGACCACTACAACCACACCAGGTACTTCTACGTCATGCCGGTTGGTGCTCCTTCGAAAAACGAAAATCTGCAACTCCCAGGGCAATACGGCCGCCGTCAGGAAATGCCTTGACTCCCTGGCGCCGCTGCGTCGGACCTGCCTTAGCCCGACAACATTGGTATGTCACAGGCATGGTTGATGGGCCGTCACGTGCATCTCTTCCCTTGCTTCCCGCCACTCTCACATACCTGGGATCTGGTTTATCGCTCTCACATGAAGGCCCGTCGTATGCCAGATGTTTACTCCAGTGCAGGGTAGAGGTAGACCACCTCAACGTGTGTGCACATCCTGTGGGATTTCTTTTGCTCCCTTCCCTTGCCCCTCTCAGGGTCGTAGCTTGGGGCAGATTGGCTCGGGGAGGATGGTGATTCCGTAGTAGCTCCCCGCGACTTCCAGATGATTCTTCGGTTCTTTGCCAGTGTTTTCTTGTGGGTGCTTGTGTTTAGCCCATGTGGTGGGTGTGTGCTTAGGAGACGGAACACCTCGATATTCAGTACTTGGATGTATGCCACAGTGGTTATATTTGTATCTGATATGTATGTATTCATGCCGTTTATCCGTATGGTTTGGCCTGTATTCATGCCTACACCTGAAAGTACGATGCGGAGCACTCCCGTACCACCTAGATTCCCACAGCCACGCCAAAGTGTCGAGCGATGTGACTGCAACTGATGTGATTGAAACGGAAGACGTTTTCTTCTCCGCCCCCTCCACACCCTCCTCCCCTTCTTCCTCCTCCTTCTCGTCCTCTCCGCTCTGCCATCCCTTATCCCAGATCGCGCTGCTGGTTCCCGACTTGCCTTCCGCTTCCCCTCCCGCTCTCGCTCCCACGCCCGCGCCAGCGCCCGCTTCCGCCGCTCCGCGCACCCCGTTGCCCGAATTCGCGCCGTCGCGAACCGCCGACGCGGTTCAAGAGGCGGAAGGGGGGGGGAGGGGGAGCAAACGGGGGCGATGTGGCGGGGAACGCCCCAAATGCGAGTAGTGAGACTGAGCTTAGCGCGTCCGCCGTCGGCAATCAGACGAGCAGCAACATTCGACACAGAAGCTCCAATCCAACAAAGGGCGGAGGGAGCAGAAAGGGGTGCGGAAGCGGAGGGGAGGGGCGGTGGAGCGGAGGTGGCGGGCGCGCTGAAGTCTGTGAGGCGGCACCTGAATGGGGGGACGAAGAGCGGAATGGCAACGGCATTGCCGTGATGGACGAGGTGAGTGGTCGTTGGGAGAGAGGAGGAGGACGGAGTAGGTGAGGAGTTGTTAAAGCAGACGAGGGAAGCTGCGCAGAGCATGCAGCCATCTGTGGCTCTTTTTCTGCTTTTTGGTGGTGAAAGGCAGGCAACACGGTTTTCTCTGTGTCCACTCACACTCTCCCTGTCCCTCTCGTCCCCCTTGTTCCGTCCCCTGTCTCCCCGTGTCTTCCCTGTCTCCCGCTGCTGCTGTCTCATTGAAGAACCCCCAGGTCCAGGAGCACATGGCGCTGACCGAGAGGAAAGCAGGCAACCCCTCTGCTGCCCTCTCACGCTCTCCACTCTCCCTTGTCTCCCCTTCCCTTCTCTTCCCCTTGTCTCCCGCAGCTGCTGTCTCAGCACGCTACAAATCCCCAAATCCAGGAGCACATACGGTAGCTCTGGCAGGGATTAAAGCCGGCAACACAGCAGCCGCCAGGGCGTGGTACCGCCGCAGTGCGCAGGGCTATGAGGCGGCTCTGGCAGTTGGCAGTGCCTCCTCGCACTCACGGGATGCTTTTGCCAACCACTTCAGCGACGCAAGGCATTCAGACGCCAGGAACTCGGCAGAGAGAGGGCCTGCGGAGCTAATGAGTGGAGGAGCAGCAGAAGAGGCTGGGCACCTGAGGAATCACCTGGGGCGGTGCCTGCAGGCGTGGGCCGGGATGGAGGCGGAGGAGGGCGACATGGTTACCAGCAGACAGCTGTTCCAACGGTCTATATCGGTGCTGACGCGGGGGCAACCGGGCCAACAGCAACAGCAGGAGCGGGAGCAGCAGCAGCAGCAGCAGCAGCAGCAGGGCAGAGGGAAGCAGTCAGGGGAGACTCAGAGAGACACGGGGAGCCTTGTGATTGGCCTGCACGCCTGGTCCATGGCTGAGAAGCGCGAAGGGAATTTCCAGGCTGCCCGGAACCTGCTGGAGCAGGCAGAGAAGCTTCAGCCGGGCAGCTCAGTGGTTCTGCAGTCACGCGCCCTCCTGGAAGCCTCTGTGAAGAATCTAAGTGCAGCGCGGTATTATTTCAAGAAGGCCACTGCTGCTGCCCCTCTTGATGCTGCTTGCTGGCAGGTGGGTGGTTCGCTCATTCATCTCAGGAGACTTTTGAGTCGAATCGGATACTTTTGACTCAGGTGGGTGGTTCGCTCATTCATCTCAGGAGACTTTTGAGTCGAATCGGATACTTTTGACTCAGGTGGGTGGTTCGTTCATTGTCTGTTGACGCGTTCCTGGGTGGTCCTCTTGACGTTTTCATACTCTATTTCAGGAACGCGCTGCCCTTTTGCTTTCTGCTCTTGCTGCTCGCTTATTCTCTTCTCACTCTTAGCTGCTGTGCAATCAGCCTAGCACCTTCTCAACTCCCCCTCCGATCGCAACTCCTCACCCTCACTCTCTACAGGCATGGGCACTCCTCGAGGCTAAATCCGGCCGGGTGGACCGCATGAGGACCCTGTTCCTCTCGGCACTATCATCCAACCCCAAGTGCATCCCCACTCTGCACGCGTGGGCGTGCCAGGAGGCCCGCCTAGCCACACCTGAGAGCAGAGCCACAACAAGCCGGCTGTTCGAGCAGTGCTTGGAGATTCCAAAAACAGCACCCTGTAACTCCCTTCTCACTTTGCCTCTTCCCTGCACCCCCTCACTCCCCTTACCCATTCCAGGCATGGGCGCTCATGGAAGCACGAGCAGGCCGGGTCGACCGCATGAGGAGCCTCTTCCGCTCGGCTCTATCAGCCAGCCCCAACTCCATCCCCACTCTGCACGCGTGGGCGAGTCAGGAGGCCCGCCTAGCCACACCCGAGAGCATGGATGCAGCGAGGGGGCTGTTTCGGAGGTGTCTGGAGGTGCAGCCTGGGTGTGTGAGGGCGCTGCAGGCGTGGGGTGTGACGGAGCATGCAGCAGGGGATGTTGACGCGGCTAGGAGTCTGTTTGACCGCTGCCTTGAGGCTGCTCCGAGCTCCGTCCCCGCTCTCCAGGTACGCTCCCTCCACTCTCACCTCACTGAAATTAAGAGTCTCTTATTTTTTTTTTTGCTGGAATTCCCAGGGCCTGCCTTGTTCCATAGTCATGTGACTGTCTCCTGAGGGTAGTGCGAGGGTAGTGTGGCATTGAGTTATTCCATGCTCCATCTCCCTCCACTTGCTTATATCACCCCCTCACGACTCTCATGCCTCCCCACTCCCCTCGCTCCCTCTTCATTCTCGTGGTTCTCAGGCATATGCATGCTTGGAGAGGCAGCAAGGAGATCTATCCAAGGCCCGCTCGCTCCTATCACTGGCCCTATCAGCTCAGCCGGACAACGCTGCAGCACTACAACTTGCAGCAGAGGTGGAGGAGGCGTTGGGGAATGCAGCAGCAGCGCATGAGCTCTTTGTGCGGGCACCTTAACAATAATCTCTCCCCTCTCTCCCCCTCCCCCCTTGCTTTGCGCGCTCCCCCCACCCCCCCTGCTCCTCTCCGCCCTTCTCTCTCACAGGCCTACGCATGCTTGGAGCGGCAGCAGGGAAACCTAATCAGGGCCCGTTCCCTCTTACAGCTAGCCCTATCAGCCCAGCCGGGGAATGCAGCAGCACTGCAGCTGGCAGCAGAGGTGGAGGGGGCACTGGGGAATGCAGCAGCAGCGCATGAGCTCTTTGTGCGGGCACACCGGGTGGATAGACGGGTGGCGAGGCGACGACGGGGGATGTTTGAGTCGGTGAAAGAGGGGAGGAGAGAAGATAAAAGGAGAGGGGAGGTGCCGCGTTGGGTGGTGGGGAAGATTAGGGAGCGGCGGTTGAATAGGAGAGCTTGGGGGAGGGAATAATCAGGGTAGGCTGGAACAGCAGGAGTGTCTGCTTTGTCATTTTAAACCTGTGGGCCCATAAAGCACAAACTGGTGCAACCTTCCTAGCTTCGGTTGGATGGCCCGCGGGATGAGTTGTTGCTGATAGCTCAAGTGCAGGGAGTAGAATTGGTTACCATATGCAGCTCTGCCAACACGTATGCTAATGTGGTCTCTGCCGCAGTGAGTAGCTTGTGTACAGCTGAAGTACAGTGTTGCCCTCAATGCTTAGGTACGAGTTTGAGTGTGCTTTTGTAATGATTTAGATCTAAACAAGTCTTGTATATTGCATGCTGATGCCTAGCAAGATGCTATGAGCACAAAGAACATGATGATATATGATGGAGTTGTAACCAACACATTCTATGATCACTACGTATAACCAGAAGGTGTTGTACTCCAAGGGGAGTGATTGATTAGCAGGGTCCATATATTCGATTGTAAGAAGCATTCATTGTTGCGGGTTAACTTAGCTTTACCACTTCGAATCTCTTGTAGCGAGGTTTTCACAATTCCTGCCGCCTTCTGCGGCAGCCAATAGGGCTCCAGATGACGCGTTACAATCGGGATCCACTTTGACTTTCTTGTAGTGAAGTTTTCACAGATTTTGCTGCCCTTTACGGCAACCAACTGGACCCCAGAGAACGCGTTGAATGTTGGGAAACATGATTGAACCCACCTCGAAAAATTTTACTATGGGTTTCGGAGATGTTCTGTGGGTTGCACACAGTTTAAACGTAGTTACAATACGGTGACATCTTTACATGTGGCCCTCCATCATTGGTCGTCTTTACATTACCGCGTTCTACTGACATAGACCACATGATAACGTACCGGAACCCCTGAAATCACACCGTATCGCTTGGTTTTACTTCAGCGATCATGCCAGAGTTTGTTTGGGGCAAAAAAAATACCTCGCGCATTTCGCGGCGGCACGGGTGCAGCGTGAGTGACGCAAAAAGTCAAACACTCTCCGCGGTCCGCCTCCCTCCATGCAATCCAGCTCTCCCGAGCTATATATCCCGCAGCTAAACTTGCTGTAACCATCAGAGTTTCGAATTCCGATTCTACCTCTTCTCAGTAATCAGTCTCTCCCATTGAAAACTGAAGGAATACTATGGAAAGCGTTACGACGGCGAGAGAGTTTCGGCTATGGGAATTGATGTTGTGCCAGTAATTCGGTAGCGTTTGGGTAGCGTTGGTCTCAAATGACTAAGTGAGAAACCAAGTAGAATTGTAATATCAACTATGAAGTTCATACAAGCAAACACACAATAGATATATGGCTACGGGAGAGTTGCACAAAGTTGCCGTGGCGCTGCGCAGTAACCCAACCCCACGAAACTGTCGTGTGGGTGGGTGAACGCGCCTCGGCCAATTCCCAACCCAACTCAGCAGCGCAAACCACTTCCGTGCACGCCACTCTAGCCAACACTGCAAGGAGTGGCGTGACTCTCAAAGAAGCACGCCCAACTCCCAAAGACCCACGCCATCCTGCACTGACTCCGCCGAGTTTGCTGCGGTAGCTCGCTGTCACCCACAGTCACTAGTGACTGCCACCGAACGCATGCGTCGGTGCCGAGTAGACTCAGTCGTTAGGTCATCGAGGGCCCTTGCTGTCGTAGGGCCCTCTAACACTCCCCTGCCATACTACAGCAAGGCCCTTTATAATCACAGGGCATGCATACACACATACACACCAAAACAAAGGGAAACACACACAAACGAAGCACTCTCAAAGTGCAAACACGCACCGCACCAGCCATGGATAGGCCATGGCACCATCCACATCAAGGAGTGTCTAGGTCTCACTCCCCTCGCTCGAGAGCCTCACCTGCCCCACAGCCTCGAAGCAACGACTGAAGGCGGGGAAATGCAATGCCTTGGTAAGGTAGTCAGCAGGCTGCTCGCTCGTAGGGATGTACTGCAGCTGCAGCTTCCTGCGCTTGACCATGTGCTGCAGCCACATGTGACGACGCTCCATGTGCTTGAGGCTCCCCTTGAGCCCCATGCCACCTGCCACTGAAATGGCGGAGGAGTTGTCCACAAAGAGAGTAGTGGGAACCTCACTCCTCAGCAGTTGAAACTCTGCCAGCAGGAAGCGCAGCCTGCGCGCCTCCTTCCCAGCCTCCACAGCAGCAACGTACTCAGACTCAGTGGAGGAGAGGGTGGCGCAACGAATCCTCTGGCATGCACAGGAGACAGCGGCACCTCCGAGCACGAAGACGTAGCCAGGCGGGTACAGGCTGCGAACTGCAAGGATCCCACCTTCTGCCTGTACTCCTCCTCCTGGCGAGACTGCCATCCCGCATCCTCAAAGGTCTGCACACTGAAAGGGTCAGAGGAAAGGGGGGTGCGAGGCACTCGCAGCGGCTGCTCCCCGTCGAAGAAGCGCCTATGGACCTTGTCCACGTAGGCCCCCTGGTGCAGCCACAGCCTCCTCGTAGGCCTGTCCCGAATCAGCTGCAGCCCCAGGTACTTCTCCACAGGGCTAATCTCCCGCAGCTGAAACGCACTCTGCAGCAGCTCACGTAGCTCCCCCAGCATGCTCTGACTGCGGCTGGCAGCAAGCAAATCATCCACATACACCAGCAGCCAGCACATCTCCCCCTCAGCATCACTCTTGAAGTACAGAGCCTCATCCACCTGGCTCTTCTTCCATCCAGCCCCAAGCAGCACCCCATCCAAGGCCTCATACCACAGCATCGGGCTTTGCTTGAGGCCATACAGACTCTTCAGCAACTTACAGACACGAGGAGTCCCATCCTCGTAGTAGCTCGGCTGCTCCATGTAAAGGTCTCGGTCCAGCACGCCATGGAGGAACGCGTTCTTCACATCCAGCTGCATCAGGTCCAAATCAAGTGCAGCTGCAATCGCCAGAAGAACTCGCGCCGTCACATAGCTTCCCACAGGGGCGTACGTCTCCTCATAGTCCACCCCTGCCACCTGCGTGAACCCCTTCACCACCAGCCGCGCCTTCTCACGCTCCATTACTCCATCCGGTCGGAACTTGGTGTTCAGGATCCAGCGGTTCTTCATTACATTCACCCCTGGCGGACGCGGAACCAACTCCCACGTCCCCTGCTCAATCAAGCTCCGCATCTCCTCATCCATTGCCTCCTTCACCTTGTCGCCCTTCCAGCAGCCCAAGGCTTCCTTCACTGTCATCTTCGCTATATCCCACTGCCTCTCAGGGTCGGCCACCACGTCAGGATCCAGGTCCGTCCACTCCTCGTCCTCCTCCTCGTCATCCAATCCCGCTGGCTCAATCACTAAAGCCCAAGCATACTTAAGAGGCGGGACACCACGAGTGATGCGAGTGGAGCGACGCAGTGGCGCAGTGATCGTCCCAGAAGCCAACACACGACCACCATCTCTAATTCCCCACATCTCCTGCTCCCCTGTCTGCTGCTCCCCTAGCTGCTGGTCCACCATCTGCTGCTCCTCAATCTGCTCCTCCCCTATCTGCTGCTCCCCACTCTGCTGCTCCCCTGACTGCTGCTCCCCTATCTCCTGCCCCCCACTCTGCTGTACTCCATCCATACTGCTCTCGTCCTGCAGCTGCTCAGTCTCAAGGCGCTGCCCGTCGGTGATCTCCACAGACGAGGGCACCACTATCCCCCCCTCACCAACGGGCGGCGCCGTGGAAGACGAAGAGGAGGGTGGAGCAGGTGCAAGAGGGATGGAGGGTGGAAGGGGAGAGGGAATAACAGGAGGAGGAGGGGAAGCCAAGGGGGGTGAGGATGAAGAAGGTGGGGCAGGGGGAACCACACGAGGGTAAACTGAAGGCGGAGGTGGGGTGGGGACCGAGGTAGGGACATAGGGCATAGCAGGAGGTGCGACCACCTCCTCCTCCTCCACCGCCTCCTCAAGAGTGATCGGGAAGTGAGAGGGAAGGGGCTCATAGGGCATTGGACGCCCCCCATGCTCTTGCTGATGCCACGCCTTCCATCCTGCCAAGGACATGGTCTCATAGAACACAGCTTCCACAGTGGTGATGAGGCGGTTGGACTCCAAGTCCAGCACGGTCCAGCCCTTGCTCGCTGCGGACACCCCCAAGTGCAACCCCCAGCGAGCCTTAGGTGCCAGCTTCCCCCCACGCTGCGACTGAGGCACCATGTACTGCACCATGCAGCCCCATACCCGCACCATACTGACATCGGGTTTGTGTCGAAAGGCGAGCTCGTACGGCGTCACACCAGAGGGCAGCGAGGCGTGCTCCACGCGGTTGCGCACCCAGACGGCCTGCGCCAACGCCAGGTGCCACCAGTGGTGCTGCACCCCCATGTGCAGCAGCATCGTTCGCACCGCCTCCACAATGCTGCGCATCTCCCGCTCGGCCATCCCGTTCTGCTCCGGCGTGTACGGGCACGTCAGGTCATGGATGATGCCTTTGCCGTCGAGGAAGAGCGTGAAGTCATGCCCAAGGAACTCGCCACCCCGATCAGTGCGCAGCGCCTGCACCGTGGTCTTACACTGCCGCTCTGCCATCGGGAGCCACTTCTGGAACGCCGCCAGCGCATCACTCTTCTGAGCCAAAGGGTAGGCCCAGACGTACCGCGACTTG